AGGTCTGCCTCCTGGGGCCGTGGCGGGGGCAGCACGGCCCGCCAGGCCACACTCACTGTGGTGGCCAATACAGGGGAGTCCAACATAGACTACAACACGGACTTGTACAGCTGCACCTTCCCCGCGCTCATCGAAGACTGGCGCCAGACCTTCCACCGCGGCTCCCAGGGGCAGACCGAGCGCTTCTTCCCGTTTGGGTTTGTCCAGGTGAGGGGAGAGGAAGCAGGGCTGGGCTGGGCTGGGCTGGGCGGCCTCCCTCCCTCCTGGAGCGCTGGTCAAGCACTGAGCCTGGGGGTGGCTCGTCCACGTCAGGGTGAGACCGCGAGGCCTTCGAAAAGGTTGGTAAGTGAGAGTCACTGACGTTGCTCCTTACCGAAAGGGTTACAGGGTCATTGAAAACCACCAAAGCAGCAGCTAAAAGCTTTGGTGACCGTACAGCCCCAGAGGAGCAGCGGCCTGTGTTTCTGAAGTGGGTCCATGCAGGCACGGCATCTGGGTTTCTCTTACCGCTGTGCTGTGAAGGGCTGTCCCCATCCCCGCCTCGGCCCACAGCCACCGCGCTGTTCTGGGGCGGCTCTTGGTGCTGCTCTTGGGCTGTTCTGGGCCTTTTGCTTTCCCGTAAGTGGCGTGGCAGCTTTCTGGGAGCGAATGCATTGCATCCCCACCAGGCTCTTCCCGCAGGGTCACTTCTCAGAAACAGAACTGGGCTGAAAGCACCCTCTCTGAGGGTTTTCTCTGTGGACGTTTCTCTCTGGGCAGCTCTGGGCGGCTCTCCACCCTGCCCTTCCCAGGCGGCGCCGGCTGTCGCCCTGGAGCGAGCACCCTGTCTGGGCTGGCACACACGCCCCTGGTGTGAGCATTCCCTCTCTGCCACACGTGCCTCGCTGGCTCAGGACTCTGTGGCCTGGAATCGGGACAGCTGCCTGCCCCAGATCGGAGTGTCCCCGGTGCGGTCTGCCCCCTTCTCACCTGCACGTGGGTTGTGCTGCATCGGGACTTCCTAGTCCAAAGTTAGGCCCTGGTTATCTTGCGCATTGGCTATCGGCCTCAGTGTGGGAATGAGAACACACACGGGTCGTGCCTTAGGTTGGAGGCGGCCACAGAGAGGTTGCGCCAAGTGCTGCCGAGGCTGAGGACACGCACTTGTCCAGGTCAGGCCTGTCTGCAGGGCCTTGTCGGGGCACGGATGTCCTCACAGGGCGGCAGTCCTGGCCTTTCTGAACACAAGACGTTAAACAGCGAGGCATGTGGAAGACAAGGCCCTGCAGCTGTGCCTGAGGGGCGCGCCAGGCAGGGTGCTGTCCGAGGCAGCAGCTGAGGGGCAGCCTGACGCCTGAGAAGAAAGCCAGGGGTGGTCCTGAGCCCCAGGCATGTGCTCTCTGAGGGGAGCTAGAGGGGGCTGCAGGCTGTCCCTTGCAGTGTGCAGCGCGCAGTCTTCCGGATGTGGCCAGCTCTGTGGCTGGTGTCCACCTTCGGCAGACGGAGCGTGTCTCTTCTGGGCCGAGCAGAGCCCCTGCTCAGTGCAGCTTGAAAGCACGTCTGGTCTGGCCTTGGGGCGTGCTGGTGCCCCCACGTGGCCAGCGTGTGGTAGGGCAGCAGGTGACGCTGGAATGTGGCCGGCTACCCTCTAGGGAAAGTCAGGCTGCCCCTGGTGCTATGTGGCGGGATCCCCTGGCTAGTGGACACGGCTCCTCCTGCAGCCGTCTGGATGTGCAGCAGTTGGTCATCCCCCTGGGTCTCGTCGTCCCCGTTTCAGGAGGTGCCATTGTGACGCTCCTACACCTTTCCTCACTGCCCGGACTCAGGCTGATGTGCCCGACTGCGTGATAGGACTGGGGCTGTCCCGGGTTCCCTGTTAGCTCCCGGGCCCAGCAGCCCTCCATGTTTTCCTGATGGATTTCAAGTCTTTCTGGAGCCACCCGGGAAATGGATGACCGTGCCTCACTTCCCCTGGGTGTGTCTGTGGGGACACCGTCAGGAACCTCCTGGGCTGGGAGGGAGGTTCTGTCCTCACCCCGTTTCTGCTGGGCCGTGCAGTTCAGGCGGAGGCAGGAGAGTGGCTCCCTGGCAGACTGCTTCCCCGCTGGGGTGACGTGGGGCGGGTTCGGGGCCCGACTGGGGTGACACGGGGCGGGGGCGGGGCCCGGCTGGCCTGCCTCCTGTCCCTGCATGCCTCCGTGGGATGCCCTCCATGTGCCAGTCACAGGGGTTCCCTGGAAGCCATGGAAGGCTCCAGTGGCCAGCAAGCGTGAACCTTCTGCCCGGGCCCACCCCGACTCGCCTGGTTCCCTCTGCTGCGTGGAGCCGCACCGCTTCCTCGCTTCCCTGCAGGCACTGGACAGGCTCACCCTCAGGTCCCTTCTGCCTGGAAAGTTCCTTCTCCACCCTCCTAGTTTTCTTCTGTCGTCTGTTAATGGTGACGAAGTTAGCAGCCAGATGACATGGCACCTGTCCATGGCTGCCGTTTCTGTGGTGGGCAGCCTGGGCCACCAGCTAGCTAGGCCTCTGCCCCACTGCAGCAAGGTTGTCCAGTGGGCTGGCTGTCCCGGCTCTTGAGGGTGGGCGGCAGGATTCAGTTCTGTGGGGCTGCAGGACTCACGCTTGTCGAAGGGCAGCAGGAGACCTCAGACCCTCTTCTCAGGGGCTTACTGACTGGGCCCAGCCCCCAGCACTCCCTTCAGGGATTTTGGACTCAGCCGGTTGGGCCCTTCCCGACCTGCAGAACTGCCTTCTCTGCCCCAGATGTTCCCGACAGTGGTGCTTTCTGCCTTCGCCACAGTCTGCCGACTGGGGAGGCTGTGGGTCCCTGCCGCTCATCCTCGGGCCTGCCGACACCCCTGCAGACCTCCCCTTCAGCCATCACTGAGCCCCAGGACCCCCCTCTCCTTCCCTGTCGTGTCTGTTATCTCCTGTGATGTGGAACTCACTGGCCTGTCGAGCCCGCTGGTTCTTCGTCCCATGGTATGCGCGCCGGGGAAGGGCCGCTGTTCAGGCTCTGTCTCCGTCCCCTGGGGAAGGGCTGCTGTTCAGGCTCTGTCTCCTGGGCCTGAGCGTCAGGCCCTTGGCAGGTGCATGTGCAGAGTAGGGGTGGATGATTAGATGCCCCAGCCAACACTGCACGGGGGCTGTTTGTACGCTTGCGCTTCAGCGGGCAGCCTCAGAGCCGGCTGACGGAGGGAGTGGCCGCTGGAAGGAGAGAAGAAACTACCTGGTCAAGGGCAATCTCTGCTCACCACATCGCCTCGGCCTTTGAACATGAGAGTGGTTGGCTGTGGCTTCGTACCGAGCGTTTGCCAGGCCGGCTGCTCTGCCCGCTCACAACTGCAGGGTGTCTAGGCAGGTGCAGCTGGGGTAGTTCATGTCTGTGCTTCACGGTGTTGACCCAGCCTGGCCACGTACGTGGCCCTGACCAAAGCCTCTCACTTCGTGCATTTTCAGCTCCAAGGCGCCTCTGCATAATCTCTCCGTGGGTAGCTGGCCCCTCTCACATGGCCGGTTGTAGGTCCTATGAGACTTGGGGACCGCACGACCTCCTGCTGCTGCACCTGCGGGTGAGGGCGGCCCACAGGCCCCCAGAGCCCAGAGGGGAGAGGTGCCGGGGCTCCTTGCCAGGACAGCACCGTGGTGCTTGCCGAATGACTCGGAGCACACCGAGTCCGCCAGGGAGCGGGATGCCAGTGCGGGTCCCCATGCAGCCATCTCTCTGTCTAGCTGTCCTCACAGCTGTCCACGGGCAGTTCAGACGATGGGTTTCCCTGGATCCGCTGGCATCAAACAGCAGACTTCAGCTACGTCCCCAACCCGAAGATGCCTAACACCTTCATGGCTGTGGCGATGGATCTCTGTGACAGGGACTCGCCCTTTGGCAGGTATGGCTCTTCCTGGGCACTGCATGACAGTGGGTCTCTGCGGAGTCCCTCTCTCCGACGTCTGGCTGTGCTGGAGCCTGCTCAGCATGAACACATTTCTCTGAGCGGGGAAGGCTGTGGGTTAGAAATAGACTTGCTGCTCTCCACATGGCTGTGAGGGGCAGACTGCACACAGAACCAGGGCCAAGCAGCTCCATGGGCCTGTGGCTGGTGCTGGGACATGCCGCAGAAACAGAGCTGCAAACTCGCAGGCCCGATGCAGTGACCTCCCCTCCCCTCCCCTCCCCTCC